CGGGGGCGGACCCACACAATCGGGTCCGCACCCTTACAGAGGGAGAGGTCGCTCTCGAGCACAAACCTCACCAGGAAGTGATCTGACCATGACAGGGGAGTCAAACATAAATTCCTCACCCTCAGACCAAGGTAGTGAGGTATACAATCCAGACAAGACGGAGGTCCTGTTGGTAGGTGGGTCGGGCTTTGGGGAAGGGGACCTTGACCTTGTCCTGAATGGGGTTGCACTCCCTCTTAAGGACAAGGTCCGCAGTTTGGGAGTGCTCCTCGATCCAGAGCTTTCGCTGGAAGCTCAAGTAACAGCGGTGGCGAGGAGCACTTTCTTTCAGCTTCGGCTGATTCATCAGCTGCGTCCCTACCTGGAGAATGGCTGCCTGGTGACAGTGACACACGCATTGGTAACTTCCTGACTAGACTTCTGTAATGCGCTCTATGTGGGGCTGCCCTTGAAGACGGTTCAGATACTTTAATTGGTGCAAAACAGAGCTGCTGATGGGACGTTGTGCTCACATGACTTCTGACCTCCGTCAGCTTCACTGGCTCCCCAGTGAAGTTCGGGCCCGATTCAAGGTGTTGGTTATCACCTATAAAGCCCTTAACGGCTTGGGACCTGGTTACCTTAAGGAGCACTTATGTCCATACGTGCCCTCCCGCCCCTTGAGATCGATGGCAGAGGTCCTTCTCCGGGAGCCCTCCGTGAAGGACATTAGGAGGGGGAGTACCCGGAGGAGGGCTTTCTCTGCATGGCGCCCAACCTATGGAATGCGGTCTCCAGAGAGGTCCGCCTGGTGCCGTCATTATTTGCTTTTCGGCACCAGGTCAAGACCTTTTTATTTAAACGTCATTTTAACTGTTGATTTTATTTATTGATTTTAACCATTTTGGCCAGGATGTCTCCAACTTTATATAATGGTATTAATGTTATGTATTTATGTCTGTAAGCCACCCCGAGGCTCCAGCGAATGGGGAGGCATGTAAGTGTGCTAAATAAAATAATAAATAAATAAATACAGTGCACATACACCAAGTCTGCAACCCTTTTTTGCCACCACTGCCATAGCTGCAAATGTGGTGACAGGGGTAAGGTGCAGTGCATTCAAGTGGGAAGTAATTCAACCTCCCTGCTTCCTGAAAGTCTTCCACTCCATGCTAAACCATAGTGAATGAGCCTCAGGTTTGCAAACACCCTCCTCACTGCTTCCCTTTTGGCATGGCCATAGGGAGATCTTGCTTTTTTGCTTCTGTTTTAAATTAACCATAATTAGTCATGATGTCTAGATCCCAAACCTTAATTACAGGGCAGGAAAGCCTGTCCCTCTACATGGACAGTAGCAACTAACCAGCTATCAGATCAACCAGGGATTCCAAAGAACGTTTCTTGCCACTGGTCTTCTCAGATGCTCAAATTATTCCATTAAAACAGATACCAGTTGAGAAGGCCATGACTCAAGTTGCTATCTTATACTTCTTAATACTGCTACTACTGTAGATTGAGACCACCAGAGGGAGCTCCTGTAACAAAAGCATACTTTCAGGCAAGCATCTTTTTAGCCACTCTGATCTCTAAAGTTGGAGGGTAACTTGAAGCACAACTAGCATTGCTTTTTGGGACCAAAAATAATCTGGAATTAAAATATTTTAGACCAACATCACAATTTATGGTACATGAATGCAGCACTGGCATTGTAGCAGTACAACAGACTGAGGTCCACTAGTAATTGAACAGCTAGAAGGTACGATTTCTAACATGTATTTAAGAGAAAGTTGAGTCTAATATACAAGTGTATGGTAGAACTATTACTATTTCCCTCTTTCCCTGCTTAATTTTCCTACCCATTCTGTACTGACATGCTTAGTAAAATGTGTCCTAGATTTTCAAATGGTAAAACTAACAGTGCAAAGTAATGTGCTATAAAAATTACACTTTGTTCCTAATAAAGTCATGATTCAGTAGCTATGCTGCTTTGGAAAGGGCCTTGGTTCTGCATGGGTTGCTTCAGAGCCAGAGTCTTACTGACTCTCAAGTTCAAATCTGGAACCTAAAATCTGCAAACTTTGTATGTTCCCCACTGACTTCAATGGGAAAAATCAACAAACAGCTGTAACTTAAGTCTTGATAGAATTCAATGAGAAACCTTTAAATCTGTTTTTACAGACAGTTTTGTAAAACAGACTTTACTTTTTTTTTTTTTTGCTTAGAAAAAGAAAAGAAGGGACTATCAACAGGGGGCTTTCAAAGTAAGGGAAGGAAGGGATTAGCTTTTCCTCCCTGAATTGTAGGGTTTTAATATGCTTTTTTTCCCTGCATACACCCAAGTCTCAGAAACTTTTAAGTGTCTTATTCTAGATGAATCCTATTTGCCTCTAAGGGCATTACAGCACATCCTCCCTCTGTTATTTCAGGAAGAGAGCATTGTTCCAGAGCAAGAGGCCAGGTTCATCACTAGAATCACAATCAATGGAGAGAGAAAGGGTAGCAGTAGTCCACTCTGCCCCTGGCAATGCTCCCTAGCTGACTATCTGGAGCTTGTGCCTGCCTCCCCAGTGTAAATTGTTGAGCGGTACCACTTTTGTTAGGAAGAAGTGCCCAGTACCCTGCCCCTTGTTGTAACAGGCAGTCAAGAAGAAAGTGCTGGGGAGGCTTAGGAGATAGTAGAGGACTCAGTGGAACGCCAAACTCCTGATGAGGAGTGTTGGGGTCAGAAGCCACCCAACTGAACAAGCAGTAGGCATGTTCCAGCTAGATGTACACTCAAGTTATTCTTGGAAACTCTGAGCATTCAGTTGCTTGCAGATTGAGTTAAAAATGCAGTGAGAACACAGAGGCCTCTGTTAGGTTCCTTCTACATCCCTTTCAGAAGCACTGGGATTGAAATTAAAAAGGGAAGCCCGGGTGAAGTTGTTCCTTGACTTATACAATATGATCATATACATCTTCCACTGTTCCCTGGTTTGGCACTACAGTTATTTGCTACAAAAGTACATCTTCTTAACTTGGCGTTTTTCTTAGAGAAATTGGGGAGAATGCATTATTTCTGCAGGTGCATTCTATGCCCATCCTTCCAAACCTTCAAAAGGAGTCATATTTCATTTGGGCAGGTATGGAGGGTTCCCAGTGCAGGCAAGTTCCGAATCTCTTCCAGTTTGGTTTGGAATGTGTCCATAATGAGAATAGGCATTATCCAAATCCCCCAATTAGAGATTAATATTGGTCCTGTACCAATTTAATATTTCACTTTTTATCTGCAGATAAAAAG